ACATAACCGGCACACCGCCAAAACATGACCAGGACACCATCACAACAGGACCGGGACACCATCAAAACATGACCGGGACACCGTCACAACACGACCGGGACACCATCAAAACATGACCGGGACACCATCACAACATGACCGGGACACCGTCACATGACCCGGACACCGTCAAAACATGACCGGGACACCGTCACAACACGACCGGGACACCATCAAAACATGACCACGACACCGTCACAACACGACCGGGACACCATCAAAACATGATCTGGACACCATCAAAACATGACCGGGACACCATCAAAACATGACCGGGACACCATCAAAACAGGACCGGGACACCATCACAACCCGACCGGGACACCATCAAAACATGACCGGGACACCATCTCAAAACATGACCAGGACACCATCCCAACATGACCGGGACACCATCAAAACATGACCGGGACACCATCACAACATGACCGGGACACCATCAAAACATGACCGGGACACCATCAAAACACGACCGGGACACCATCACAACATGACCGGGACACCATCAAAACAGGACCGGGACACCATCACAACATGACTGGGTCACAATCAAAACATGATCGGGACACCGTCAAAACATGATCGGGACACCAGCATCACATGACCCGGACGCCATCAGAACATGACCGGGACACCATCCGCCCACCAGCTCTGACGGTGACCCGACGGCGCCCGTCCGCCTATTAGTTTTGCAAGACCCATAGCATGGCTATTGAGGAAAAAACTTCTTGTTACTATATACAGGTGAAACGATTCCCAGTGAAACGATTCCCAAGGAACCTGCCTTTTAAAGTTTCTATGAGTTTCTTTTCTCATGCTTTCCTGAGGATCTAAACCGAAACCTGGTCATGACGGCTGCTGGGATCGGCGAGTCCTATACGAAGTTCAGTTTGGGCCTCAAACATTTTGTCTCGGCATGGCCGTCGACTTCAGCATTCTGGGCGCCCGCAATTTTCCACGTACATTAGACTAGAGAAAACTACCATAGACTAGAGATCAAACATGGCCCCTTCGTAGAGGAAAACAGCTTTGAACATTTCCTTATCCGTATGTTAGTAGCCACCAGTGCGGTTCTCATGAAGTGTCTTTACCTTATGCTGCGACGCAGTCTTTTTATGTTCCATTCCTTGCCGGTTTATCCCCTTCTTTCCGACCCCTTTCCTCTTTATCGCTATTAGGTTGGAGGCCATTTCTGACCCTAGGTGGAGACGGACAGCCTGCTCGGGAGGCCACGATGGCAACGCCCAGAGGGTTGGCTTTGGACGAGGTGTGCAGCATCAAGCTGAATTGTTTCCTGGCTTTTGTCCAAACAACAAAGGAGAAAACAATTTTGAATTAAAAGCCTGTTTGTTCTTTCCTTTCATTCCTTCTCCTTTCCTTTTCTTTCTCTTCTCTTTCCCGTTCTTTCCCTTCCTTCCTTTTATTCGTAGACAAAAGGATTCTAAAAGAGTGCCACTTACCAAAAAGAAATAGGTGATTAGCAGAAAAGGAGCAGGACTTGCAAAAGGTGCACGTGTTTTGCAGGAGAACAGTCACCTCTATTTGTCGGATTCCGAGAATCATGTGCGACTTGGCTCCATTTGATCGCTTGGTAGCCAGATCGACAGAACAAGCCGTATTTGCACAGCGGTATCAGCACAAACTAGTGGCACCTGGTGGTTCTGGTTGGAGTAGCGATGAGATAGTCAACTCTTATTGATGCTGCCTGTGTCGCATCCTAGGATCAGAAGAATCAGGCACCAGGGCATGCAAGTGGATTCAATTGCAGTTGGAAGCTTCTTTTGAAGTGTTCTCACGATGTTCATCATGATGAATTGATAAACACCTGCGCAACAGGCTTGGAGAAAGTCGCTTGACTGGCATCATCGAGTCTGTTGCTGGCACCGCGGTGGGTGGTCTCGTCCCTGCCTGAGCATGAGTTTGCTTGGTTTATCATGGAACAATTTTGCTTGGGACATACTGGAATTGAAGAAGACAATCATGCGCACCAAGCTGTGGTAGCTTCAACATGACTATATAAACATGACTGCCTTGCTCAATTCGAACTTCTCACGCAGATTGACACCCCTTGTTTGGTGTTGGTAATCATGACCCCTAAAGTAGGTCCGCTCATGAGGGAGTGAGCCAGTGAGTGAGTGAGTCAGTGAGGGGCAGGGAGAAAGTTGAGCCTGATGCCACATGTTTTGATCGGGGCTCGATATGACCACATTTGAGCATAGCATCTTGCTGATCCGGCTTCTGCAGGGACAAGATGGATTGGATCCATCTTTGACACGTTTTAACTACCCCTATGGTCTGGCCCTCGAGAGAGATGCTGCTGGTGTGAAGCTCTACGTGGCAGATTCAGCAAACCACCAAGCGCTTTGGCTTTGACATGCTTTTGCCTGCATCCTTTGTTCCTTGCTTCTTTTCTGTTTTTCCGCCGTTGATATGGACACCTCAAGAAAGGATTAGTGACTAGGGCTGACTAGTGACACTTTGATATGGACACCACCCTTGCTGACCAGTGACTAGGGCTGCTTTGCTTGCCCAGAGCTTTATCAAACATGCATTTTGTGGAAACACCACTTTAGTCCTCGTTTTCTCCTGTCAAGGGACGGTCAGGTGAAAGTGAAGAAGCTACACGATCAAAGTCAATCATTGAGGGATGTTTCCCTCCAAATTAATAGGCGAGCGCTTCTTCAAGCAAGGAGTTTCCTTGAAGAAGCGCGAGCTACCTCTAGCTACTAGCGGCCTACCCCTCCCGGCGCGCACGAAAAAGCTACTAGTCTTCCTACTAGCTACCTAAGCTACTAGCGGCCTACCCCAAAAAAAGAGAAGTGCTATGTAATAGATGTTCTGCCGTGTTCTTGAGTCTTCTTGTTTTGTGAATCGGCCGTTCTATTTCGAGGTAGTGTTGGTGGACTTGGCATCAGCACCAAACATTGTTCGCAAGATCGCAGGAAAGCGTGACGGCAGCGACCTGACTGCACTACTGTGGCAATAAGAAAGATCAGGATATATATATATAGTTATGTAATATATATATACACACATATCATCCCCTGTGACATTTCCTCTACAAATTGGGCCAACCCCTGTATTGGAAACGACCATTTTGTAGAGAAAATATGTGCTTTCTATAGAATCACTGCTCCTGATTTGTAAAGTGATCAGGGTAGTTTTTGAGCATGTTAGCAAAGGCATGATTTGCAAGGCAGGGTCCATTATATAGAAATAACATGCTTTCATATATTTCGTTCGTTGACTCAAGCATGTGCACCCACCCACCATAATTTTGTAGAGAGTTAGAACCCATTTTGTAGAGATTGTTTTAGAGCAAATATAGAGAGCGCACTTTTCTGATAAATTTCTGTGAGCCCACTCAGGCCAACCCCGAACCCAATATTGTAGACTTAAGGTTTCTGTCTTCGGGGATTGGTTGGTTTGGACCTGGGGGGGTGATGCATTTGTAGATATAAAATGCCCTCGTCGTGTGAGTTTCACAGGCATCTGTTACTAGTAGCGTGGCACCTGTTACTACTAGCGTGGCACCTGGGAACAATGTTTGTAGATGACCTGGGAACAATCCTGTTTTATGAACGACTTCGGTGACCTAGTGCTCCATAGTGAACACTCCTGCGCGGGACTGTTTTGATCTCCTCCCATGATCTGTAATGTGGGATCTTCATTTCTCCCCCGTGCTAGCAAATAGTTTAATGGGGAGGGTCTATAGGAAGAGTCCCTGGAATACCGTTTCAAAGGATTCTGGTCTGGAAATTGCTTGTAGAAAGAAAACAAAACGACACGAAGATTAAATTCCCTTTGTTGAATTGCGTTGGACCAAAATTGTTAAGGGTTGCTGTTTATATATATATATATGGGAACAAAAACACATGTTTTTTTGTACGTTTTCCAGGTTCATATTGATTTCCTTCTGTTTTCTTTTGGTCCTATTGCTCCCTGTTTTTTCCTCATCTCTGAGCTGATCCCTTTGCCAAAAGTCATTGCTATCAAAACTATACCAAAGGGCTACAGATTTCAAAAAAAAGAATTGAAGGGGGTGGTCGTCCACGATGGCCCTGGGCTTGATTTGTATCAGAAATCTTCGGGTGATTTCCTCTGGAATTCTTAGACAGGAGAAGAAGCTATTAGGTTGGAGGCCATCGCTACTAGGGGCAGCTGGGGTAGAAACTCTGGGAGAGGGAGAGCGACTTCTTACTATTCCAATCCCGAAAGCAATTCCAGGGCCTAGAAGAACTTTGCGAAAAATGACTTTATTGTTCCATACCATCCATACCACTTGAGCAAATCCAGTCTTGCATAACTACCGGAAGCTGCAAGATTCAAAGATTTGAGAGCCAATGAACTTCAATGAACTCTAGAGACTGACAGAAGTGTTTGTTGCGCCGTTGCAGGCTTGGTTCCTACCGAAGTGGGTGACAAAGGACCTGCACTGGAAGCACAGGTTTTCCGCCCTCAGGCAGGAAAGGTTTTGGACAGGGCATGGAGCCGGAACACATTTTTCTTTCTGCCCGCTCCTGCCTCTTTTATATAATTAGGCGCCTACTCAATTAAGTAAGGGAGTAAGCTTCTAGCAATTGGATGCAGGATAGCTCACACTGATTTGGTTCGATTCTGTAGACCTGTGGAATCTTTAGACTGCTTTTTGCCTTTCGGTCTATTCTTCTTTAGTAGTGTTTTCTCCATTTTGCATGAGGGCATGCCTCAAACCTTTTGCAACCAGCTTGTTTGTAAACTCATTTATGTGATTTTATGTGGGCCTTGGCCCGAGGCGTTGATGTTGTTCTTGTTGTTTCTACTCTGCTGACAAGGACAATGGTGACAATGATCAGGCGAAGAAGATGATGCTGACGGTGATGAGTGATGATGACAAAATGAGGACAACGACGGTGGACGATGGCGATGATGGTGATGATGATGATGATGATGACGATGATGATGATGACGATGACGAGGATGAGGATGATGATGATGATGATGAGGAGGAGGAGGAGGAGGATGTTTTTGTGCGTGTGTGTGTGCGTTTGTTCGTTTGTTTGTTTGTATGTATTTGTTGGGGTCGGGAATGTTGTTTGACCTCTTTTTGTTGGATGAGCTTGATTGCATGTGGTGCAACATTGCCCAGATTCAGATATTTTGTTGCAAACTTTTGCATCATTATATATCTTGTTCATCCTTGTTCTGCGTTGGATTCATTCAGACAGAGGCAAAACATAATCTATCCTTTCACTGCAGGCCATGGCCTTTGCAAATGGCACGATGGAGGTGTTCTTTGCAGAGCCGGCAATGGAACGTTTGAGACAGACGCCTGGAATGTTCGCTGAAGTTCCATAGTAGTGGGAGTCTGAAAGATGGCCTCCAACCCACTAGCGATGGCCTCTAACCTAGAAGCGATCGATAACAAGAATGCCTTTGAAAGGTTTGGTCACTCGTGCCACTACTCGCCAAACCAGGATGGATATGACCTCTGGAATCATCGACACAGCTCTGGAGACCTATGCTGTGAACTTTTCCATCGGTGAAGGTCTTGCAGGCCGCATTGTCTTGCGGACTCACTTTCTTCCTCGTAAATTTTTGGGGATATGTCTGGCAGCCCCTGCGGACTTGCGGACATCCCCAATCCTTACACAGCCCGCGGTGGAGAGCGGTAAGGCCATGTAGGGCCATGACCATGACAGCACTTTTGTTACATCCCTAATCCTGTTTGGAAAGTGGTCCCGTTCGTTGTCAGGGCAAGGGGGTGTCAAGGGTTTTGAGGTCTTTTCAAGAAGTTGACTTTGAACGAGCTCAAGTGCAGGGGTCATACCGATGGACTACGATGCCGCCCTTAGTTTGCCCTATGGTGTGGCTACCATGGGCAACATCTTGCTGACGGCCTCATATGGAACAGGTGCCGCACTTGTGATTTTGGGAGGGGTATCTCAGATATCCCTGATGATATGAATCCGAATCAGATGAGTAGTCAAATGTTTGTTGCATGGTGCACGTGCCTTGACTTTGAGGTCAAGTGCGTCAGACAAATCTCACCAGTGGCATCACGACAGATTTCGCTGGGAGGTCCGTGGCAGTTTCGGCGGAAGTATCACTTGACAAAGGGTTGACAAAGCGTATCACTCGACATCCATCGCTATGAGGTTGGAGGCCATCGCTATTAAAAGGTTAGAGGCCATTGCTATTAGGTTGAAGGCCATCGCTGCTGCTATGAGGCTGGAGGCCATCGCTATTTATGACATTGGAGGCCATCGCTAGTAGGTCTGAGGCCATCGCTATTAAATTAGGTTCGAGGCCATCGCTCTGAGGTGGGAGGCCAGCGCTAGTATATGTCTGAGGCTATCGCTATTTTGTTGGAGGCCTTCGCAAATAGGTTTGAGGCCATGGCTTTTAGGTTGGAGGCCATCGATTGTAAGTTGGAGGCCATCGCTACTAGGTTGGAGGCCATGGCTATTAGGTTTGAGGCCATCGCTATTTGGTTGGAGGATGTTGGAGGCCATTGCTATGAGTCGCTATTAGGTTGGAGGCCATCGCTATTGGG